TCAAAGATGATTCAGCCAAGTTGTGACATTACATTTTAGGAAAAGATGAAGTAATGTTTGTAACTCGTTGCTTTCATAATCAAAGATGATTTGAGGTAATTTTACAAGTTGTGACATTACATTTTAGGAAAAGATGAAGTAATGTTTGTAACTTGTTGCTTTCATAATATTCTGTACTACGTGACACTGTCGGAAGTCATGGGTCTGTATGCAAGTGCAGAAACAATCAAATACCGAGGTTTTGAAGAGATTTTGATCTTCTTTAGCCAGGGTTAAAGGTTTGATCTTTTAGCCAGGGTTAAAGGTTGATCTTTTTAGCCAGGGTTAAAGGTTGATCTTTCAGCCAGGGTTAAAGGTTGATCTTTTAGCCAGGGTTAAAGGTTGATCTTTCAGCCAGGGTTAAAGGTTGATCTTTCAGCCAGGGTTAAAGGTTGATCTTACAGCCAGGGTTAAAGGTTGATCTTTTAGCCAGGGTTAAAGGTTGATCTTTTAGCCAGGGTTAAAGGTTGATCTTTTAGCCAGGGTTAAAGGTTGATCTTTTAGCCAGGGTTAAAGGTTGATCTTTTAGCCAGGGTTAAAGGTTGATCTTTCAGCCAGGGTTAAAGGTTGATCTTACAGCCAGGGTTAAAGGTTGATCTTTTAGCCAGGGTTAAAGGTTGATCTTTTAGCCAGGGTTAAAGGTTGATCTTTTAGCCAGGGTTAAAGGTTGATCTTTTAGCCAGGGTTAAAGGTTGATCTTTTAGCCAGGGTTAAAGGTTGATCTTTTAGCCAGGGTTAAAGGTTGATCTTTTAGCCAGGGTTAAAGGTTGATCTTTTAGCCAGGGTTAAAGGTTGATCTTTAGCCAGGGTTAAAGGTTGATCTTTTAGCCAGGGTTAAAGGTTGATCTTTTAGCCAGGGTTTAAAGGTTGATCTTTTAGCCAGGGTTAAAGGTTGATCTTTTAGCCAGGGTTAAAGGTTGATCTTTTAGCCAGGGTTAAAGGTTGATCTTTTAGCCAGGGTTAAAGGTTGATCTTTTAGCCAGGGTTAAAGGTTGATCTTTTAGCCAGGGTTAAAGGTTGATCTTTTAGCCAGGGTTAAAGGTTGATCTTTTAGCCAGCCAGGGATCTTTCAGCCAGGGTTAAAGGTTGATCTTTTAGCCAGGGTTAAAGGTTGATCTTTTAGCCAGGGTTAAAGGTTGATCTTTTAGCCAGGGTTAAAGGTTGATCTTTTAGCCAGGGTTAAAGGTTGATCTTTTAGCCAGGGTTAAAGGTTGATCTTTTAGCCAGGGTTAAAGGTTGATCTTTTAGCCAGGGTTAAAGGTTGATCTTTCAGCCAGGGTTAAAGGTTGATCTTTTAGCCAGGGTTAAAGGTTGATCTTTCAGCCAGGGTTAAGGTTGATCTTTTAGCCAGGGTTAAAGGTTGAATCTTTCAGCCAGGGTTAAAGGTTGATCTTTCAGCCAGGGTTAAAGGTTGATCTTTTAGCCAGGGTTAAAGGTTGATCTTTCAGCCAGGGTTAAAGGTTGATCTTTCAGCCAGGGTTAAAGGTTGATCTTTCAGCCAGGGTTAAAGGTTGATCTTTCAGCCAGGGTTAAAGGTTGATCTTTCAGCCAGGGTTAAAGGTTGATCTTTCAGCCAGGGTTAAGGTTGATCTTTCAGCCAGGGTTAAAGGTTGATCTTTCAGCCAGGGTTAAAGGTTGATCTTTCAGCCAGGGTTGAAGGTTGATCTTTCAGCCAGGGTTAAAGGTTGATCTTTCAGCCAGGGTTAAAGGTTGATCTTTCAGCCAGGGTTAAAGGTTGATCTTTCAGCCAGGGTTAAAGGTTGATCTTTCAGCCAGGGTTAAAGGTTGATCTTTCAGCCAGGGTTGAAGGTTGATCTTTCAGCCAGGGTTGAAGGTTGATCTTTCAGCCAGGGTTGAAGGTTGATCTTTCAGCCAGGGTTGAAGGTTGATCTTTCAGCCAGGGTTAAAGGTTGATCTTACAGCCAGGGTTAAAGGTTGATCTTTTAGCCAGGGTTAAAGGTTGATCTTTCAGCCAGGGTTAAAGGTTGATCTTACAGCCAGGGTTAAAGGTTGATCTTTCAGCCAGGGTTAAAGGTTGATCTTTCAGCCAGGGTTAAAGGTTGATCTTTCAGCCAGGGTTAAAGGTTGATCTTTCAGCCAGGGTTAAAGGTTGATCTTTCAGCCAGGGTTAAAGGTTGATCTTTTAGCCAGGGTTGAAGGTTAAAGGTTGATCTTTTTCAGCCAGGGTTAAAGGTTGATCTTTCAGCCAGGGTTAAAGGTTGATCTTTCAGCCAGGGTTAAAGGTTGATCTTTCAGCCAGGGTTAAAGGTTGATCTTTCAGCCAGGGTTAAAGGTTGATCTTTCAGCCCAGGGATCTTTAAAGGTTGATCTTTCAGCCAGGGTTGAAGGTTGATCTTTCAGCCAGGGTTAAAGATTGATCTTTCAGCCAGGGTTGAAGGTTGATCTTTCAGCCAGGGTTAAAGGTTGATCTTTCAGCCAGGGTTGAAGGTTGATCTTTCAGCCAGGGTTAAAGGTTGATCTTTCAGCCAGAGTTAAAGGTTGATCTTTCAGCCAGGGTTAAAGGTTGATCTTTCAGCCAGGTTTGAAGGTTAATCTTTCAGCCAAGGTTGAAGGTTGATCTTTCAGCCAGGGTTGAAGGTTGATCTTTCAGCCAGGTTTGAAGGTTGATCTTTCAGCCAAGGTTAAAGGTTGATCTTTCAGCCAGGGTTGAAGGTTGATCTTTCAGCCAGGGTTGAAGGTTGATCTTTCAGCCAGGGTTGAAGGTTGATCTTTCAGCCAGGTTTGAAGGTTGATCTTTCAGCCAAGGTTGAAGGTTGATCTTTCAGCCAGGGTTGAAGGTTGATCTTTCAGCCAGGTTTGAAGGTTGATCTTTCAGCCAAGGTTAAAGGTTGATCTTTCAGCCAGGGTTGATCATACCAAAAAATCTGCCTCAGGCTGAATTCAGACTCACTAACTTGGGGCTGCAGCAAGCGTTATGTGACTACACTTCTTCATCTGTCCGACTGCTTATGATGTAAATCAGCACACAGAGGAGGTTATAGTTTTGCCAATATCTAATCTAACTTCTTTTTCTTTGCGTTTACTGGCTGTAAACTCCAGGCGAAAAGTTTTGGTTGTTTTGCTTGCACATCCATTTCACAGGTCTGACTCATTTGCATGCAGACTGTTGGTTCCTTACCTCTTTGGCAGATGTACTCTGGTTTCAAAGGAAGCTTCCAATTAGTCGACTCTTACAACATGCTTTTGGGCGGGCAGTGGGTCTGTACTAGTTTCCTCACAATGAGTTCCAGAACCCACACGGGGATTTCTTTTTTTTTCAAGTCTCCTCAATGGAGATAGATGCAGTAAATACGTTCGGCCACTCTACAACCTGCCAGAATGGCTATTACAGCCTGTAGACAGGGCTCTTTGAGCTTAGGATTTGGGGCTACATGGCTAGTGCTGTTGCCACGGATTGTGAGGTTTAGGATTTTATTTTTGCAAAAAAAAAAAAAAAAAAAAAAAAGTCAACAATGTTACCGAGGATTTAAACTTGGGTCTCTTGCATGAGAGTGCAGCGTTCTGAACCCGTTGGTCAGCCACTTCCGTGCAACACCGCCATCACTCCTAAAATGAAATAACAGTGCTAACAGGTATATCAGCACACTACATGTCTGGGCAGGTTTTTTTTCTTTGTGTCAACTCTGTCGAATGTGGAAAGTTTAAGAAAGGGTAAAGAACTCAGGTCGGCGTCTGTGGCTTAGTTGTCGCAATGCTGGGACCATTCAGGAAACAATGGCAAACTACAGAACGTAAAATTTGCCTAGAAAAACCACAACAGCCAAAACAGACTGGGATTGCTTCTGCAATGTCCTGAGAAGGATACACAACTAAAAAAAAAAAAAAAAACTTTGAGAAATGGACAACCATTGGTACCAATATATATTTAGCACTGTCTTGAGAAGCAGCGAACAGAGAATCATCAGACAGGTATTGAAATGGGAAAGACATGGAATGAGGAAACTGTCAACACCAGTTATCAATAACATTATCTATAGCATCATCATCAAAATCAATAACACTATCAAGAACACCAATAACATTAACAAGAACACCAATAACATTACCAAGAACACCAATAATATTACCAAGAACACCACTAACATTACCAAGAACACCACTAACATTACCAAGAACACCAATAACATTAACAAGAACACCACTAACATTACCAAGAACACCACTAACATTACCAAGAACACCACTAACATTACCAAGAACACCACTAACATTACCAAGAACACCACTAACATTACCAAGAACACCACTAACATTACCAAGAACACCACTAACATTAACAAGAACACCACTAACATTACCAAGAACACCACTAACATTAACAAGAACACCACTAACATTACCAAGAACACCACTAACATTACCAAGAACACCACTAACATTAACAAGAACACCACTAACATTAACAAGAACACCACTAACATTACCAAGAACACCAATAACATTACCAAGAACACCAATAACATTACCAAGAACACCACTAACATTAACAAGAACACCACTAACATTACCAAGAACACCACTAACATTACCAAGAACACCACTAACATTACCAAGAACACCACTAACATTAACAAGAACACCACTAACATTACCAAGAACACCAATAACATTACCAAGAACACCACTAACATTAACAAGAACACCACTAACATTACCAAGAACACCAATAACATTACCAAGAACACCACTAACATTAACAAGAACACCAATAACATTAACAAGAACACCAATAACATTACCAAGGACACCAATAACATTACCAAGAACACCACTAACATCACAATGAAAACCAATATTAGCAATAATAACAGCAACAACAACTTACTGATAATCACCATTTCAAAAATAAATCAAGCCAGAAACAAACAACATTGCAGGGACTACCAGAAGTTTCTTTACTATGCGGAGATTGTGCTGGCAGTTGACGAAATTAAAAGGATTCACAGTCCTGCACGTTTCTTCTCCAAAGGAACGGCCTCAGCTTGAACCACTGATCTAATGACAAACAGGAACTCGATGTCTTCATATGCCCCAAAAGTGTATGTCCTGACTTGCTTTTGGGAAAGAGTCGCCAAGATTTCGTAGTTGGGGTTTGGAGCGTATTCAGCCATTTCAATACCAGCTCCAGGATTGGATATGGTGACGACTTTATTGGAGAATGTCCAGGAGCCGAACTTGAGCATGCAGGTCGCTCCACTGTGGGAATCGACTTCCTTGAGGTCGCAGGAGACACGAACTCTAATATTTGGCACAAAGATCACCTGACCGTTGTTAGCTACATTAGCAATAGAAGGCGAGAGAACTTCAGACGAGCTGACGGCGTTGTAGATAGTGATGTCTGGCAGCCATAGGTACTGGGTGGGTAAACTGACGCTGGACTCGTTAAACCCATCCCTGGTGGTATCCCAGGCTAAAGCCAGGTTGCGCCAGGACACTGACTGCCAGATGACAGCCTCAATCTCGTTTCTGTCAGTATCCACCTCGAGGATTTTGGAGAACCACAGATCGATGCTTACTGCCAAAGGGTCGTTACTGGTGTCCGGTATAGGTATCACATCCGGGTCTGAGATATCTCTCAGGTAGGAGATTATTGCAGAGTGTTTGAGTTTGACCGCATTTGTAAGTGCGACCGCTGCAAAATACCGCATGTGTTCAGTTAGAGTGTCAGTGTAAAACGTTCAGTTAGTGGGTCAGTGTAAAACGTTTAGTTAGAGGGTCAGTGTAAAACGTTCAGTTAGAGTGTCAGTGTAAAACGTTCAGTTAGTGGGTCAGTGTAAAACGTTCAGTTAGAGTGTCAGTGTAAAACGTTCAGTTAGAGTGTCAGTGTAAAACGTTCAGTTAGTGGGTCAGTGTAAAACGTTTAGTTAGAGGGTCAGTGTAAAACGTTCAGTTAGAGTGTCAGTGTAAAACGTTCAGTTAGTGGGTCAGTGTAAAACGTTTAGTTAGAGTGTCAGTGTAAAACGTTCAGTTAGAGGGTCAGTGTAAAACGTTCAGTTAGTGGGTCAGTGTAAAACGTTTAGTTAGAGTGTCAGTGTAAAACGTTCAGTTAGTGGGTCAGTGTAAAACGTTTAGTTAGAGTGTCAGTGTAAAACGTTCAGTTAGAGTGTCAGTGTAAAACGTTCAGTTAGTGGGTCAGTGTAAAACGTTTAGTTAGAGGGTCAGACATTCATTAACTGGTGCCTGCGCAGAGAAGAGGGAATTAAATTGTATGATAGAAAGACTAATGTAGAGCGTTGGGAGAGAACTAAACAGGCTCCGGTGGAACAAGAGGTGAGGAAAAGACGCTGGCGCTAGATTGGACACACACTGAGAAAACAGGAGAACACCATAACCAGAATGTCTTTGCATTGGAACCCACAGGAGCATAGGAATAAAGGAAGGCCAAAAAACACATGGAGAAGAGAGCTGGAGAATAAATTTAGAAAGATGGGGAGAGCTCCATGAAATGGTGAAGGATAGAACGACTTGGCATGAGCTGGTTGACGGCCTATGCTCCATTGGGCGAGAGAAAGGCAAAAGAAGAAGAAGAAGTGGGACAGTTTCAGTTCGCCCCATATTTTGTGTGCGGAAGTAATCGACACTCAATGCTTAATATGATAAACGCATTTACTTACTATAAATATTTTCAAATTTTTATTGAAACAAAGCTAGGAAAGTGTGTTCACCGAAGATGGCAGAATTGACAGAGAAGTATAAACCATACGCCAGAAATGGTTAGTTTCGTATCCTTTTGCAGGACGTTGCAGAACGTCCAGTGGTTTTTCTAGGCAAATTTGCGTCCAGTAGTAATTTGTCATTGCTCTCTGGACGGTCGACTTTCTTGATACCATTGTCGAAACCAACGCAAGGCGCATGGCCCGCAGCTGGGATCGAACCTGGCATCCGGCATTACGAAGCGTTCGTATCGACTTAGCCACAGAGCCGACAGACGCCAAAAAACAAGAGCAATTATATACCAGTTGTCACCATTACTAAGAGAACCCAAACCTAACAATGAGCGCAAAGAAACAGTGCCTAGAAAAACCACACACACACACACACACAAAAGCTGCAGTTGGTTCTGCAATATCCTGAAAAGGGTACGCAACTAATTTGTTGGCCAGTAGTTTCTGAGCGGCACGACGTTCATACCGTTGTCGAAATATTTGCACAGTGGTCTGCTGCCTAATTGTCCGCATACATGCGCAGGAGACGTAACACACATATAGACAGAGAGACAGACAGACAGACAGACAGACAGACAGACAGACAGACAGACAGACAGACAGACAGACAGACAGACAGACAGACAGACAGACAGACAGACAGACAGACAGACAGACAGACAGACAGACAGACAGACAGACAGACAGATAGATAGATAGATAGATAGATAGATAGATAGATAGATAGATAGATAGATAGATAGATAGATAGATAGATAGATAGATAGATAGATAGATAGATAGATAGATAGATAGATAGATAGATAGATAGATAGATAGATAGATAGATAGATATAGACAAAGTGAGAAAAACCACTAACGTCCTGTGAACCGATCTCCTTTCGTTTCGCAGTTGGCTTCCAAGCCTGGTGCGTCGGAATTGAAATACTGCGTTCACAACACCTTAGCTACAGACACATAAGAAGTATATAGTAATGCAATGATAAACATATAAACTAACTAGGACAGAGAGAGGATCACCGACACAAGTAGCAACCAGACCTTGTAGCAGCAACAGAGAAGCTAGAACCAGCATGTTTCTCTCGGGTACCATTGATCTTCCGGCAGCCCAGAAGTTTCTGCACTCATATTTATACGGCAACCAGGCAGTCAGCTCAATGACTCTGACATTTGCTGGCGGGGCGATGAAGCCGCTTGGCGGTGGTTAAGGTTGGTGATGTGATGTGAACTTGGATAATGGACGGTTATTTGGCAAATGTCAAGGGTATTCGCTGCATTCTGAAACTTTCTATACTCAATCCTTTTTAAAACACAGTACACGGCTAGGTAGGTGTCTGTCGCTTAGGCGTTGCGAACAAGCTTCGTAATTCCCGGGTGCTAGGTTTAATCCCAAATCGGGCTGTTTGGCAGCAGACTTCATTGTGTTGGTGTCGATTTTGATATCTTGAACCGGAAGTTTACAAGCAATTGCAAACGACTGAACGTGAATTAGCCTAGAAAATGACGTGGGCGATCATGCCTCTCCACAACCTGGAATCAGCATCTGAGTATGTCAGTCGATTTCGATGTGCTGATACCTCTCCATGCCATGACAAAAGACTGTCAGGAATCTTCTCACGCTGTCTTCCCTTGTCTCTCTTTCCACAGATCTTTCCTGTGGTCACAACATGTTCTAGCATTGTATATATATACTTCTCTTCTCATGACAAAAAATCATATATTTTCTGCACTAAGCAACATCTTGATATCGGCTATTTTGCAGCAACTCCTGTACATTGGCAGATCACGTGCTTCACATGTATTCATATTTATGAGTATGGTTAGGAAAGAGAGATAACAGGATTATAAAAAAAAAAAAAAAAAATCAGAACATGAAAGAAAATGGAAAGCAGAGATAGAACGAACGAACGAACGAACAAGTGAACTTTATTTTCAAGGTTCACAAATTGGGCATGCAGGCCTGTTTTTCATTCGGCCCTTCCATAAATGCATCTTTTACACGGCAGTTGTATTTTATCAATAAAACATGTTATGTTCATATAATAAAATGCATATTATGAATATCAAGCAAAAAAAAAAAAAAAAAGCATGGGTTGCAAAAACACATGCACCCACTCATGCGCATACGCACATATCTACAAACCCATACATACTCATATCATATACATACATTCACACACACACATACATACATAATTCATACGTAGAGGCATGCATACGGACACATACACAAACAGACACGGACATACACACTCAGACACACATTCATATACACAGACACCCACATGCAGACACTCACAGGCGAACACACGCACGCACACAGACATACACACATACCACAAAAGTCACACACACACGCAGACACAGACAAAAACACACAAACACACATACGAACACAAACGCAGACACAGACAAAAACACACTGACACATACACGTAGACACAAAAACACACACACAGACATATACACACAGACACACACACCTAGATACACACGCAGACACACTCGATTATATGCAGACAAATACTCACACACATATACATAGACACACACACAGACATATACACACAAGCACCCACACACAAGAACGCAAACACTCAGAGAGAAAAACAAGCCAAAGAAAATGATAAAACAAGACCAGATAAATACAGAGAATAAGAAAAAGATAACGTGAAACAGAAGAGGAAAACCGAAAGCAAAGGAAAACGAGGAGCAGAAAGAAATAGAAGCAAAGAGGAAGAAAAAAGACCTTTTAATTAGCTTCAATAAACAAACACACGTATTATTAGGTGGCACCGCCCCCCTTCCCAATCATGAAACAAAGGGGGAAAGGGGGGGGGGGGTCAAGGATTCTGAGCCCCTAGGCTCCGGCGCCACGGAACTGACTCCCTTCTATTCTTTTGTGACAAGAGTTATTCTGCCGCCATATCAGCTGTACAGTAACAAAGGTCGAGTAGTCATTTGTTCTCTAGAACAGGACAATTTGAGTCACCGCAATATGAGTCAGGAATCTACTAGTGGATATGCCCTTGAACTTGTGTATAGCTTTGCCGAGTAAATGCCAAGGGCTCGCAGAGAATATACTAGTCCCGAACATTAGACAGAAACACCTTTTGCTTTATGGATTACGAATTCTGCGGGATTGTGCGGCGTTGAAGAGATGTAATAAGTGCGAGTTTTCAGGTCTTGCTGTCAACATCCTTAGCTCTTACCCGGGAAACCGTGGTTCAGACGATCGTTAAGATATTTTTTTTTCTTTCTTTCTGTTTAGGTTAAAAAAAACAAGAAGCTATATAGTCCCAACTTCTTAGGCTCAATAACACCATCAGCCCGATATGGCACGCCAATATTTTAAAACCCCAACCTTGTGTAGCCAGGAGGCCCTAATATAACCTAACGGCTAAACTTGGTTTCTCGGACCTGTACCTGGTGATTCGTATCCGAATAGTGGCACTTTGTGTCACTGGGTGTTCATCGCTTTCGTCGTGCGGTCCTGGTGGGGGTAGCTCGTCAGCCACTCACTCAGGCTCAAGTCAACCATCGCCCCGGGGGTCACCTTTTGTGCCTTACACAACCCACACATTGTAAATACAGGTGCTACAGACAAGACAGTTTGAAAGTTCTAGAAATGACACTAGAACAGCACCCAGAAGTCAGAGCCGGATATGTATAGTTAGTAATTCAACGTTTCTTTTTTCTTTAGACACAACTTGCTCTTTTTCTCCTGTAATGAGGGATATTTTCACCCAGGTTAGGAAGGTTGGGGGAAAGGCCCAAAGCTGACCTAAAACACCGAGATATTCCAGATACTCGGATTAAACGAGAATCTTGAGATAGGTGATGACCACTAGTTATCACGGGTACCACGATGATGCGACCAAAGGTCGCCACGTGAAAGTAAAGGACCACCACGTGTTGCCACGTGAAACTAACCCGTGGTATAAGTCAGACTTGATTCTGGTCAAGTTTAGTTTGTGTCGACCTATTGGAGCGAGAGGATATGCGACTGAGTGGAAGAATGTCAACGTAAGAGTGATTGTTGAGAAAGGAGACCCTGACGACGAAGTGTGAAGCCAAGATCGACCATGCCAGTCTGTGAAATGGCCAGAACCTCAACTTGATTCATGGGAGCCGACTCTGGCCAGGGAATGCACGAAGAACCTGCTCGTTGAATGCTGTGTGTATTGGTGTGCGAGAGCTGTTATTAGGACAACAACTGGACGTCGCTTGTAAGTGTCAATATGCCAATACACTTATGTCTCGTACGTTTACATAGGTGTCGGCTTGTACCAGTTATGTAACGTAGAGCGTGTGAGAAGAACATTCACGACACACGCATGAACACCACCTAGACAACGAGAGAAGATAAACACCACTTTTTGCATCTCCAGAACCCCCCCCCCCTCCCCCCCCTAAATTCGTTTCTCCCCTTAGGTCCATAATGATCACTTATTTACTCAAACCTACCTTTTCCTTCACATCCTCCAGACCCACTCGTGTCCTCACTTCGAACACTCGAAAAGTGCAAATGTCAGTTGATAAAGGACCTATCAGGCACGGTAGCGTATACACTGACATACTTGTTTCTCCTCCCCCCCCCCCAATTCATTCTCCCTCTCCTTATACTATGTCTATCTTTATCTTGTGCTGCACTGTCATTACCGGATGCTTCATGTAATGCAGCAAACAATTCTCTCGCGTCTTCTTCTAGTTATTGTCATGTGGTTTTAGTAGTAATGTTTAATAGAGTTTAAGCCTGGTTAAAGTGCATAACAATAATTATAGCTATGTACTAAATGTTGAATACAAATAATGATGCGCTTAAAATACTAGGTAATATATCAAATACTTAAATAAAGTCTACAGAAGGTGGAATGGTGTGTCGTGGAGGCAGTTTAGCTTTAGGTATTTTAGGCTGGGAAGGGTGGAGGTTGGAGGAGGCTAATATTGGGGTGGTTCAGACAACTCCCCCTCCCCCGACCAAGATTCTGGCACTTATAAGCTAGCACTATATAGCCCATAAGCTTCATGGGCTAGAGAAGGACTCTTTAGACTGTGACAAATGTGTTTTTACTGCGGCTGTACAGTTGTTAGTTTACTGCCGTTTGTGATAGTGGTCCGGGTTCAACCCACACAACAGTCAGAACTAGTTTTTCCGACCTAGCACTGTTCTCGCCCGTGTGTCACCGGGGCCCTCACGGGAAGCAAAGAATAGTGACACTGCATCCTACCAAGCATGTCGTAAGAGGCGACTAAGGGTAGGGTTGGGCTTGAAACTGGCTACCTCATCCTGTAAAAACCATAGCCACAAAAACCAACCAACCATGGATAAGTCAAAAAGAGATGCAAGTTAATCCCAGCCAACCAAGATGAGGGGAGAATCTTCAAATAGAAGGATTATGACACGGTGTGGGGGAAAGCCGTAAGGAGTTCATATCGTTGACGTACCTCCTCTCAGCTAGGAAAACCTCCAGATTTGGCACCTGGAATGTTAGGGAAAAGAGAGCTGGAGAAGGAAGTTAGAAAAATGGGGAGGACATGGGAAGAGTTACATGCAATGGCGAAGGACAGAACGACCTGGTGTGAGTTGGGTGAGGGCCTATGCTCCATTTGGGGATAGAAAGGCAAAAGAAGAAGTACTGTTCTGGGTTTGACCAGGATCCTCAAGTGTAGACCAGACAAGTTTCAGAATATTCTGTAACAAGAACTGGCCACCCCACCGCCTGTATTGGGAACTTGAACAGTGGTTCACATATTTTTTTTTTCTTTAGGTGGCGCACCGACCAGCGTTGCCACTTTGGATGTTCTACATCCAGATTTAGATGTTTCCCCTTGCATTTAGATTGCGTTTTTTGACGTTTAGATGGTAGATGTTTTTCTAGAAATTGTCCATTTGGAGTAAATTTATCAAATCTAACCTAAGAAACATGATGAAATTTGACCTCTTAAATTCTATTTGGCCTGATAAGAGTAGGAAAAGGCTGTTCCACTTACCAGCTCTCTGATTAGGTATTAAAAGAAATTGGAACAGCTAAAGCATACTGAAGTGAAATAGGAAGGCTGAGAGAGGGGTTA